ATATATATATATAGAAAGAAAGAGAGACGAGACCCTACAGTCCACCATGAGCAAGCACTTGGCGATGGGGGGCCAGGAAACACTCGCCTTTTAGAAGTGCAGAAACCTAGGAACAGACTGACTCTAGGTGGGTGGTCGTTTGCCTCGACCCACTAATTCAGTTGGTTGTAATCTGTAATTCACCACTAGATGGCCACTGAATGCTACACACTTACAAACACATAAAAAAGAGAAAATAGGAGTTTGTAGCCCAATTATCCCACAGAGGTCTCCCCTCCTCCCCTCCCCAAAAACAACCCCTGATTAAAACCCACTAAACACACTTTCCTTAAATCACTGCTTCCTCCCACCACCTGTTGGACAGACAACCAGGACTCTCCGGAGGGGTGCTCGAGCCGCCAGCTGCTGCTTAACGTTAGCTTCCCAGCTTGTCTTCTCTGATAACTTAAGATCCAGACTCCGATTGACTAAAAATCCTTCATCCAGTTCAAATTCTAGAGTTAAAAGCCACCAGATCTAAACACGTGGACTGGGAAACATCCAATGTATCGCACAGCCTTCTGATTATTATTCATTGATTCAATCCAGCTCCATACATAAACACAGCCTCTAGAGTTCATACCCTGATTATCTAATGATTGATTGAATGTCTTCAGTTTGAAGTGTTGTCTGTTTCAGACCCACTGCTTGTTTAATATAGAGTATTGTATACAGGTATAATCTTGTATCAGTCAGGTGATATGAACTTTCTGTAAACAGGCACACACTGATTTCCTCCAGAGAAAATAATGTCAGATATGAAAATTTTTCTCGTTCCCTTCATCCTGTCTGCCCTGTCTGTCCTGTATTGTTTGTTTGTGAATTGATGATTAACCTGAGACTCAGAGAGTTTCTGTTCTTTTTATTAAAGTCTGGATTCTCCTCAGACCTTCCAGAGGTCTCATTTTAAGTAAAACAGAATCTAATAACGCCCGAGCTTCTCCCCACCCTGTGTGTCACTCCCCTGTTTATCATTTGACGAGAGTCACACGTCTAGCACAGCGCGGCTCCCGACCAAACGCCGACCACGATTCTACATGACGAACCATCCCCAATTTTCTAAAGCTAAAGTTTTGGGGACATTTGAAGGAAAGTTTGACGCAGAAGTCTGTCTCCCATCAGTCAGTACCACCCATTATAGCTGTAATACATTGTCCAACATTCAACTGTCCCCTGAGTCGTATTATTATTCATTCATTATTTTTATCTATTATTATTGTCTTTATTATCCACCTCCAGTGACTCCTCCTCCAGTCCTAAACGTGTCTTTATTGACTTAATAACATCTGTTTTACCATTTAGTTGATCAGAATATTAGGAACATGTGTCCTGTCTCTACACCTGTCCTGTCTGTCTGTTTTCCTGTCTGTGTTACTCCACCTCTCCTTTCTGTCAGTGCTGTAGTTTGTTGTCTTCCCCAGGTTGATTCTTGATAATCTGATTAAAACAGACAATAATACACTGTCCTTCCCATTCCGCCTCCCTTCTTCTTCCTTCTTCTTCTTTTTCTTTTTCCTCTCTCTTCTCTCTCCTCCGTCTTCTCTTCTCTCCTCCCCCTCCTCTTCTTCTGTTTTCTTCTTTTCTGTCTTTTCTAATCTCTCTTCCGTTCTTCTCCTCTCCTCCCTCCTCCTCCTCCTTGTAATAACCTCCTCAGACTCTCTCCCTCCTCTCTTTCTCTCTCTCTCTCTCTCTCTCTCTCTTCTTCTCTCCTCTCTCTCTCTTCTCTCGTCTCGTATATGTCTGTCCCTCTCTGCTCCTCTCTCTCTCTCTATTCTGTCTGTCTCTCTCTCTCTCCAGAGCTCTGTCTCTCTCTCTCTCTCTGTCTGTCTCTCCTCTCTCTCTCTTATCAAAAAATCTCAGAGCTCTCTCCTCTCTCTCTCTCCACCCCCCCCTCTCCTATCTGTCTGTCCTTTCTCTCTCTGTTCTCTCTTTCTTGTCTTCTCTCTCTCTCTCTCTCCTTCTATCTGTCTCTCTCCTCGTCTCCGTCTCTCCTCTCTCTCAGAGGCTCTGTCCTGTCCTCCTCTCTCTGTCTCTCTGTGTCTCTGCATAATTTTTCCCCCTATAGAAAAAATAACATTGAAATAGTTATTGATCAGTGTATTGGAACAGATACAGTATTAAACTGTTTGTGTCCAATGTGAACGTTACTGTAATTCTAAACCTTTTTGACAGACTCACTGAACTGTCTGTCATTAACTAAACCGTGTGAGGGAAGAGTTGGACACAGACACACTCACTGACTGTCTGTCATTTAACTTACCTGTGGAGGAAGAGTTGGACACAGACACACTCACTGACTGTCTGTCATTTAACTAACCTGTGAGGAAGAGTTGGACACAGACACACTCACTTGCTGTCTGTCATTAATAACCTGTGAGTGAAGAGTTGGACACCATGACCACACTCACTGACTGTCTGTCATTAACTAACCTGTTGAGGAAGAGTTTGGACAGCAGAGAGATTTTATTTGTTTAAAATAAATCATATTTTGAGTTTTAATTTAATGAGAAATAAAAGACAGACTGTTGAAATTGTTGTTATATTTCCAAATATAATTCCATGATTTCACGTGTATTTTATTATACTTTATGTATGCATTATTTATGTGTATGTATGATAAGAGAATAAAAGCTGGATTATATTATTTGTTAAATTAAAGGAAACTAAAATATTCAAACGAGCGCTTTCATTTTACGGCTCCTCGGCCGTGTGAACGTCATCTGCGCGCCGCCAGCCAGCAGGGCAGAAGGAGAGAAGATGGAGGAACGGGGTGAATGTCGGGGTGAATCTGGACGCTTTTCTCTCACGCGATCAGCGGCAATCCAGGCGCTGCGCTCCAGCGTGAGCCCGCGGTGTTTGAGTCCCTGAAAAGGACGGCAGTGAAGAACCGGGAAGAGCTCTGGAGGGCGAGAGAAGAGTTTATAGCCGAGTTCCCAGACAACCTGCAGGCCGGTCAACAAGAGACTGAAGTGAGTCCACATATATAGATTATATCAATGTGACACCACACTGGAGCTTAAGGTAATCAATTATTAGCCAATCAGGTTATGCAATCCTCAGTCTACCTGAGCCAGGTGTGTGTCTGATTGTCCTTTTGTTGCAGACTGTTGGTGGTCAAAGTGTCTTCAGGACTGACTGAAGACCTCGGGAGATAACCATCACCTGGTAACCATGACAATCATCTGTCTGAAGAAGGTCGAACAGAACTGAACTCGTGGATTAAAAATGTGGGAGGTGACTTTGAAACATGACTGCCTGAGGTACTTCCTGTCTGTCTGACTGTCAGTCCGCCATGTCTCACCCCCTCCCCCTCATCCCCCTCCTCCT